TGCTGCAGCTGGCTACAGATCTATAGCCCGCTACTCTTTTCTCTCTTCCTTTATCTCTTTAAAAAATGTTTATAGCTGGCTTATAGCCTGCTATTGTACCTGCTCTTACACTTGGTATAACTACAGTAAGTTAGGGTGTGTTTAGTTCGTGAAAAGAAAATTTTTGGGTATCACATCGTACGTTTGACCGGATGTCGGAAGGGGTTTTCGGATACGAATAAAAAAACTAATTTCATAACTCGCCTAGAAACCGCAAGATGAATTTATTAAGCCTAATTAATCCATCATTAGTACATGTGGGTTATTGTAGCACTTATGGCTAATTATGGACTAATTAGGCTCAAAAGATTCGTCTCACGATTTCCATGCAAACTGTGCAATTAGTTTTTTTAATTATATTTAATGCTCTATGCATGTGTATAAAGATTCGATGTGACTTAAAAAAAAAAACTAAACAAGTGCCTACTACTAGTACTAGGCAAGAAAAATACTCCTACTTAATACTGAAAGATGCACAAGTTCTAATGTACAATGAAGTGGTAGTAACTCCTTTCGTATACGAATATACTGTACTAAGTATCTTTGGAAGATACAGACATTTAAATGCATGTTTTACACAGTACTGGACTACTGATCCTGTTGATCACACTGCTGTATATATGGCCATTGCACTTGACAAACTTATCCCATTCAGTAAGAGTTTGTCGAAATTGACAAACTTATTTGAAATTTTCACATTAAAACCACTACGTAGGGGAAATGTAATTTTTGAAGCCATCATCTTAAAACTACTGTGAACATTTTTTTTTAAAAAAATATGCCTTAAAAATGATAAGCCGGCCTTTTCAAAACTACTTTATATGTTCTCGAATAATAGAGCACTGACGACGGCTATCTCATTTTGACCACAGCTTACTTTTCAGTACTGAATGAAAGTTGTATCGATATATTTACGAAGCTACAAACTTCAAATTATAACATATTTTCAAATATTAATTTCCGCAAAAAATTCAAATGGTTAAAAAGTGTAAAGTTGAATAGTGCAATATCAATTATTCCAGGTGAATTGAAGTAATGCTATCTAGCTTTGCACTGTTTATATCCAACGTTTGACCGTCCATCTTATTTTAAAAAAATATTATTAATATTTCTATTGTTATTAGATGATAAAATATGAATAGTACTTTATGTGTGACTATTTTATTTTTATTTTTTTATAAATATTTTAAATAAGAATAACGGTCAAACGTCAGACAACAAAACCCGTCAATGGAGGTAGTACTAGTGTAGATGCACGGTTTTAAATTTCAAAGTTCAAACTAAACCTATTATTATTTTTTTAGAGGACCTCATACCGTAGGCTCTATGGACTCCAAGTGAGCCGCGCTGTATTAAAGTACGTACCTCAATCGAGGCGCCAAGGTGTATATCACAATCTAGTGCAGGTGACATACATATACATACAGTATATAATTTTGGAGATTCGCACGTACTTTGTCCGTTGTGCAATACACTATTGATCAGCGCGATAAGAGTATTAGCAACATGCAGAGTAACATCGTTTTGGCTATATTTGAAAGGTCATTTAGTTTTTCTTTTCTCCGCACACAAAACAAACATAACATTAACATATAATTAATCAAGTATTACATATTACAAAATTTTAAAATAGATTTGTTCTATTTTTAAAGAAAGTTATACATAAAAGTTTTTTTTTAAAAAATAATAGTTTAGTAATTTTTGAAGCGTGCTAATGATAATCGAGGAAGTTGTAAAATTGAAACTTTGCCAACGAACAAACCAACGTGCAGCAGCCAAATATAAACACCAGCAAATTGTCACTCCCAATATACGGTATATACCTTGGTGAGCAGCCAGCAATGGTTGCCAACGAACAACACATGCTATGCTAATGCTACAATTCTTTTTATATATAGGAGTAGCCTGGTTGCCTCTGGTGTCGAGCTAGCTAGAAAACACGAGATGAGAACCAAACAGAAAGCAACAATTCACTCCTTCCGGTACAGGTGAGAGTGTACCTGGATAAACCTCTACCGTCGTCAACTTTGTAGTCTCCTGCAAGTCCTTTCACCGATATGCTAGCTAGCTAGCCAGCTGAAGCACCAAAAAGATCACACATTTTGCATGCAAAAGTTTAGTGCTACTTTTGATGTAGGATTCTATCTAATGCTGTGTTCCCTTCAAACTTCCAACTTTTCAGTTCGATCAAATGTTTGGACACATACATGTAGCATTAAATGTGGATGAAAAAAAACCAATTACACAGTTTACATATAAATTGCAAGACGAATCTTTTGAGCCTAATTACACCATGATTAAACATTTACTAATAACGGATTAATTAGGCTTAATATATTCGTCTCGCAGTTTACAAGTGGAATCTGTAATTTGTTTTGTTATTAGTCTACGTTTAATATTTCAAATGTGTGTATGTATACGTCAAAAAAAATTAACGTGGAACTAAACACGACCATACTTAAAAAGAATTTTGGTTGGATGTGACAACCAAAATCACTTATATTTTGGGACAAGGAGGGTAGATAATAAGAAAAAACATAGGGTTAAAATGCCATGTACTATTGAATTATGCAAGAACCTAAAATGCTAGAGTTTGCAGTATAATGTGTTTGGATAGTCTGTTGAACAAAATTAATGAAGAAATTGTATTGAAATTTGGTGGTTTTGGCATTGCATGCATACAAGGAGAGGAGAGATACAAAGGGAGAAGATCCGTTGGACTTGTTAAAAGAAAAATAAAATGAGGTTTTAAGCTTTTTATGAAATATCCTTGGGGGGTATAAGATATCAATTCATGGTATTTGGTATCCTCAAATCCTTTGTTGCAAACAATAGATATATGAAATATAAATATTTTAAATGGCTAATATCCTATCTGTGAATTTCCTTCAATGAATCTTTAACGGCGGATTCACATCCTCTACTATAATAGCACTACCATTAGAGACACTGACGTGTGGGACAATAGGAGGTTGAGACCCACATACAATGACTGTAATAGTAACGATATTATGGTTGAGGATCCTCGATCAACATTTACTTACATATAGAGTAATATGGTAGGATTTAATGAGCACCAATTTAACCTAAGAGTTTGACTACTTATGTTGGGCATGATTTAGTTCCCCAAAATCATTATGTTCGGCCTATTTACTTCCCTAAAATTATTGCTTTTGCATTAACCTATCGATCTCCCTCCCTCGGCATCCATTTCCCCCATCACCCACTCTCCTTAGTGCTGCCCTTCTTTCTCTTCACCCATGACCGGTGATATAATATGGAAATGCAATCCACCCTTATTTTAGTAGAGATGATATGGAAATAACTTAATAGAGAATATTCAATTGTTTTTACAAAATAGCAATTCCGTTATTTTACTCCAGTGTTCTTTGTAAATACTCTTATCCATTTACAAATACTCCTTTCAATCCTTTTACAAATTCTCCTTTCAAGCATTATTAGGTTGTTTAGCACATCTTAAAGCATGAGAAGAAAATATTATAATACCTCATTAAATAATGGATGGTTGAAAATAAGAAATTTGTTTGGTTGCAGATAGGGAGTAATTTGAATGAGAGGTGGTTGATGGAATAAATAGTACTCTAAATATGCTTATATGTACGGAATTTAAATCCTAGAATGCTTATGTTTACAAGTGGAAGGAGTAATAATCAGTTTTGCTTAGGAAAAACTGATGAATTTTGACTTTTTTTAATCGAGGCTAAAGCAAATAGATTTGAATGTAAGGCATTACTAAAATATTTTCAATTACAAATCTAATGATATAATTTCGATGCTAAATGATTCAAGATTATTAAAAGAACTGTTAGTCAAAGGATAACTTAAAGTTGAAACTAAAGAGGGAATAGAAAAAAAATAAGATTGTATCATGCGCACACACAATAAACAAATATCATAGAAGATTTTAGAAAAAAAATACAACCGCTCCAAAATAATAGTATTTTACTAAGAATAAAAATATTTGACGATTTTAGGGATATAATTTTGTTAGAGTATCACTTTCCTCTCTCGATATATATGATAAATTTAAAGATGAGACATTACAAATAGGTGTAATACTAATTACATGTATAAAGTTTTTTACTTCCTCCGTTACTGGGAATGTAGACAGGTTTGTTTGGATTCATATAATACTATGAAATCATATCATATCTCATCCTAGATTAATTTATTCTGAGACCGTGAGACGGAATAAGTAAAAGTTTAGGTAACACTTTAGTTACGATGAGTTCTAAACTTAATTAACGTCAATCTACAATTCTCTATTTCCGTTAACATGTTTCCCAAACAGCTAAGTTGAACTATATATGTATGAAAAATATCTATATAGAAGTGTTTTTAAAAAGAATCAAATAAATTTATTTGTAAATATATACTTCCTCCGTTTCACAATGTAAGTCACTCTAACATTTCCCATATTTATATTGATGTTAATGAATCTAGACATATATATTTATCTAAATTCATTAACATCAATACGAATGTGGGAAATGCTAGAATGACTTACATTGTGAAACAGATGAAGTAATAGTTAATTTTTAATTAATCATACACTTTCGCTAATATATTATGTCAATACTAAGTTTCAAACGGGTTGTTACTAGTGCACGGTGTATACCATGTACTCCTTTTGTCTCCAGAAAACCCACATCCCTCCTAGTACAACCATTTATCCAGATTCAATTCGTTATGTTAGGAGGGGTCGCATGTTGGAATTTTTTTTTTACACAGTGAGTAGGCTGAAGTTTGTGTGTACGAAATAGTACTATGTTATACTTTATTTATATATATAAAAACAAAAGTCTATATCACCTGCATAACTCTGCTATCCAATCCGAAAAATGAAAAGAAAAAAAAAGAACACTGATTTGACGTCACCATCACCGCCCTGCGCTCTTCCCTTTTCCTGCTCCTCTTGACCTCCTCCTTCTTCTCTCTTTCTCTCTCTTTCCGCCAAATACACAACTACTACTACCCCCTCTCTCTCTCTCCGTTCTCCTTTTCTCCTCCACGGCAGTTTTATATAAAATTCGCGGCTTTCAAAAGCAAACCAAAACGGCAAAGTTTGAACTTTGAACTCTCCTCCTCCCCGCACCGCCGCATCCCTTTCTTTCCCCCACCCCTTCCCGCTACGACAAACCATAGCATATCCTCGTCTCAACACTCTCCTCTGCCTGATCAAAAAAGAAAATCAAATGCGGTGAGATCTGCGGGGTCGTGATCCTCAAACCATTTGGCTCTGGTAATCTTCTTCTCTCCCTGGTAAATTAATCTGCTCTATTCTCTTCCGTAGATAGCTTGCATGCATCATGAATGCATTGGTTGGTTGATGGTTGGAGTTGAGAGGAAGCGGTTTTGCTGGGCTGGGGTGGTGGTTTTGGTGGGTTCTGTGTTCTTGCGGCGTGAAGCGGTTGGTGCTCCTGGGTTGTTTTTTTCTTTTTCTTTTTTTTTTTCCAAAAGCTTTGGTTTTTTGTTTTTTTGGGGGTCTTTTGATTTTTTTTGTGTGTTTTTGGCACCGCACACGCTGATTCTTGGAGGTGGTTTTGGTGGTGTACTGCCCATGGGATTTAATGGGCTCGCATTGTTTTCGTGGTTTTGACGTGTTGTTTACCTCTCTTGTGTTCATGCGGATGAACAAGTAATGCCCCTCTTTCTCTCTCTCTTTCTCTCGAGGAGCTCGTGAATTTGTTTTTCTTTTCACAATTGTCTTTTGGACTTCGAGCTGCGTGCTTTTTTGGTTCTGAGCAAAAAGAAAAAACACTTTTATCTTTTCCGCTGGATTTGACATTTTGCAATGTTATGCAATGTGTTCTTCGGTTTGGCATTTTGGGGTTCAGAGTTCCATTTCGGAGAAGGGGAAAAAGCTTCAGTCTTGGTCGGCTATTTTGTCGGAAAGCGTGCCGCATTCGTGTCACATGCCGCAATTTTTTCTTTCTCCTGAGTTCACACTTTTCTTTCTTTCTTTCCTTGCCGTCGGCAATTTTGGCACCATTTTATGTGCGGTGAAAATGTGTCGGCATTTCACTGTAAATCTTCCAAACCCCGGTCCACAATGTTAATTCCCCTCTTATAGTCCAACTGCAACATTATTAGTATCATGCCAATTTCTCTTCAGGTAACTGCAACTGCAAAACGGCACAGCCATGGAGCAGTACGAGGTACTGGAGCAGATCGGCAAAGGAGCATTTGGTTCTGCCCTGCTTGTCAGGCACAAGGTGGAGAAGAAGAAGTGAGACTAGAACCACCACCACCACATTTGCTCTTGTCCCGGATGAAAAAAAGAAGAAATCAAGAAAATATATGTCAACCACCTTTTGGTATCTGCATCTTGTTCCACCCAATCTGATCTTTTGGAGCCTGTGAACTGTATGCAGGTATGTGTTGAAAAAGATCCGGCTTGCCAGGCAGACAGACCGCACTCGCAGGTCTGCTCACCAGGAGGTAAGCAACTTCTCCTTTGCATGTCTTCATCATGTTTTGCACTACCTACTTTAGTTATGATTTCACACACAATGTCTTGTGTTCACAAAGAACGAGTTGTGTGCAGGTCAACTCTTGGTACACAATGATTAGTGTTCCTGACTGGTTTAGGGGCTATTGTTCATCCTGTTCTTCTCTGTAGTACTAGATGTGTGAACTGGTCTGAACTAAGAGGGTTTTTGCCCTATTGTTATGGTGTTCTTTGTACACTTATACCAGATCTTGAATTTGAATGCAGATGCAGCTCATTGCCACAGTGAGGAACCCATTCATCGTGGAGTACAAGGATTCATGGGTGGAGAAGGTTTGTACCAGTAAACAGGAACAAAGACCAATGTCTCAAGTAGATAATTCAGCTTTGGTTTCTAAGAGGAAGATAATACGTTGTTCTGGACCACCATTACTCGTAGGATCCAATTTCTATTTGAAAAGTTTAACTAGGAATATTTTCCCCCCAATTTCAGGGTTGCTATGTTTGCATCATTATAGGATACTGTGAAGGAGGAGACATGTATGTATCTCTCTTTAGTCTTTAGCTGTAATGTGATGTTTCCCATTCCATTGTCAAACTTGGTAGTGTTGGTTTTGTTGCCGATATCAACTCTCTCTCTCTCTCTCTCTGGTCCAGGGCTGAAGCTATTAAAAGAGCTACAGGTGATCATTTCTCTGAGGAGGTATAACTTACCATTTTAGTTTTCATTTCAACAATTTTAACTTGTCCCTTGGTAGAGGGCATTCAATTCACCACCAACTTCTTTTTTTAATCTCATTTCGCAGAAGCTTTGCAAGTGGCTTGTGCAGCTCCTCATGGCCCTTGACTATTTGCATGCAAATCACATTCTTCACCGTGATGTGAAGGTGCGTAATGTTGCAATGTTTGATTCTGAAACACATTTGCAACCTGGAATTGTTACCATGTTTTCTGAAGTTGTCCCTTTTTTTTTCTGTTTCAGTGCTCAAACATTTTTCTTACTAGGGATCAAAGTATAAGACTAGGTATGCCAACTTCCATTTTCACAAGTGCATGCTTCATAGGAGTTCACATAATTCTGGATGCAATCTAATTCCTGTTCAATATACATGCAGGTGACTTTGGGCTTGCAAAAATATTGACCTCTGATGATCTAGCATCCTCTGTTAGTTCTTAAAAATATCATTTCTCTAGTGCACGTTCCATTATATTGGTGGCGGCAACTTATTCTAATCATGCAGGTGGTAGGAACACCAAGTTATATGTGCCCAGAACTACTTGCTGATATACCTTATGGTACCAAATCTGATATTTGGTCACTAGGTAAATGCTTCAGTTGGATGTAAATTACATTAGTCCACAGTTAGATATCTGCCCTGGTGCTTAATGCTTAAATATCTCTGTTTTCAGGATGTTGTATATATGAAATGACTGCTCTGAGGCCTGCATTTAAAGCTTTTGTAAGTTTTGAGATCGCTTATATTGGCTGGTCATGTAATCATTCAACTGAATTGTGCAAGTTGATTTCTGAATTAAATGTGGCTTAATATACGCTTTACCTTTCTTATTGTACTCAGTTTTCCGCTTATCTTCCTTTTGAATGGTTAGCATAGTTTTTTTTTTCCTTTCTCGAACACGTAGGAGATTATCATTATCTGGTATATATAAAATGACACAGGGAGGGAAATCCGGAAACTCCCCACCCTAAACACTAAAACACATTACAAAAACTGAAAAAACACCAACAAGACCACTTAAGCTGCAAGGGCTATCGACCTAGCCAGCAACATGTGTGTTTTGTTAATTGGCTCTTTTAACTGCATTTTTATCAAATCAACTTGGGAGAATTCATAAGAGATACATTTAGACCTCTTGTTTCATCTAGTTGTTGAGCAACTTTCAATTGATTGTTTCTGATTTTGTCATATCTTCCATCAGGATATGCAAGCTCTTATCAGTAAGATCACCAAGTCAATTGTGTCGCCATTGCCAACTAGATATTCTGGTGCATTGTGAGTTTCCATGAGTTAATACTTGATTGTCTTCTTAATCCATCTTGTAAATTTACTTGAGTAATATCTCTGAAAGCTTTACCATCATGCAGTAGGGGACTTATTAAGAGCATGCTACGAAAAAGTCCAGAACACAGGCCAAGTGTAATTCTCAGTAACTCTCTTATGTTCATGTCAGTTACTAATAACATATGTTTATTCTGATAAGAGTTTTGCATCATTTTTTTCCCTACAGGCAGCTGAACTACTCAAGCATCCACATCTCCAACCCTATGTGCTGCAAGTCCATTTGAAATCTTCTCCTGCTCGCAACATAATTCCTTCCCATCAGTCTCCGATTGACAAGGTTAAGAAAATGACATTTCCCACTGAGTCCATGTGCAGAAGCAAGGGCAGGAGAAACTCTTTGGGTAATGAGAGAATCGTGACCTTCAGCAAACCTTCTCCTGAAAGGAAGTTTACTAGTTCTATTCAGAGTATCAAGGATTACTCAACTACTCGGAGTGTCAAAGATTTATCTATCGATGTTAGTTTGGTCGAGGAGGTTAGTAGTAAAACAACTTTTACCACAAGAACATCGAGTATTGTGAAGACTCCCAAGAGAACTCCAAGCAAAACAATCACAACTCCCCAGTTAGAACCTCCAAAGGTATCTTACAACAGAGTAAATCGGAGCGAGGTATGACACATTTACCATGTTTTAAATGCAGTTTGTAGCACTCTTATTTACAACCTGTTTATAGCATGTTCTAATGCACTTGCACTAATTGCCCGGTGCGATGTACTTTTTTTGACGTCCATTTGGTGTTCATCTTTCAAACTGAACCTTGCGTAAATATACATAGATAGAAGAACATCCATCAATGAACTGCTAGATGCATTGTTTCAGTCTGAGCACGCATTACTGTTCTTACATTTCATTACTTCATACACTAAACCGCTCACTGTAGTTTCCTGAAGAATTTATTTTCAGTAATTGAATTCCTACTTTTTTTCCCATTCTCTAGCTGCTTTCAAGAACACCGGTGAACAGAAGCGCTCGGGTAATCCGCAGAGCTTCCCTCCCACTCCCACTGCCATCATCCGAGACACCGAAGCGCGGCGTCAGCAGCATCAGCATCCTCGAGCAGCTGGAATCCCCCGACGTATCCGTGAATTCGCCTCGGATAGACCGGATCGCCGAGTTCCCGCTGGCCTCATCCGAAGATCCACCGTTCCTCAAGCTCCACGGACGCCGCTCTCCAACTCCAACGCCACAGCATTGCGTCATCGACCAGTCGATCACCAAGGACAAATGCATGGTCGAAGCGTTCCACATCATCGACGTCGATGACGACGACGGGAGGAGCGACTCGTCGTCGGGCCGTAACAACGCCGCGGCGGCTGCCTCGAGCCGCGCCGGCTCGTCGGAGTCGACGAGGCAGCGGCGGTTCGACACGTCGTCGTACCAGCAGCGCGCGGAGGCGCTGGAGGGGCTGCTGGAGTTCAGCGCGCAGCTGCTGCAGCAGGAGAGGTACGACGAGCTGGGCGTCCTGCTCAAGCCATTCGGCCCGGAGAAGGTGTCCCCGAGGGAGACGGCCATCTGGCTCACCAAGAGCTTCAAGGAGACAGGGCTGTAAGCATATGCGATCACTCTCACCTTGCTCTAGAAAACAAATGAGCAGAAGCAAATTAAATTGTAGCTCAGGAAAGATTAGTTGCTGACAGTGTGACACCATCTCAGTGTTGCCTCCCCCAACTAGCTTATGAAAGATTATTCAGTGATCATCTATGGATTAACAAGGAAGTAGCGGTAGTTCTATACTTCTATGTGGTGTTGGTCTGAAGCAGGAAGTAGTAGTAGTTCATGTTTCTAACCATGTAGGAGTACTTGACAGGTAAACTGGGCATTCCAGCCCGGCTGAAGAATCATCCAGTTGATTGATTTTGTTTCTGTTTGAATAGCATTTCTCTTGTTCATGTAATCTTGAGTTATTGAAGGTTTAGAGAGAGAGAGAGAGAGAGCTGCTTGCCTTGTATTATCCAAAGTAGGAATTCAGACAATGGCCATATCTGATGGAGACAACAAGAAGAATTTGAGGAGCTTGTACTGTACTATGCACAAAGATAACGTTCTTGTCATATTGTTCTCTGTTTTCATAAAAGAGTCGCTCATAAAATGTGGCTGAACAATCTGATCCTGTCCTTCAAAATATTTTTCAGAAGCTCTACTATATGAGTATATGGTTCTCATGCTGGATAAGTAGATCCAGGGATAAAGAAATGACTTGAACATATTGATGAACTTCATTATAGCAGATTTCATCTGTTAAAACAAGAACAAAAAAAATGCTTGGCAAAAGGGAAATCGCAAGGGATTTTGAACTGATTTTGCTATATATTTGTCATCAAATTTCTCGATGTAATTACAGTACAATCGTAGTGTAATTACACTGTAACTTGTATGTAATTACACTGTAACTATAATGTAACTTGTATGTAACTTTCAAGAATCTCTCGGTAACATGTTATTTCAATAAAATAGAGGTCGTGGGAACAAATCCTTTCACATATGTGTGTGCTGTGATTTTTTTCTTCCTCACCAGAACAAATCTTGTAATAGATCTAACAATTCAAAATTACGTGAAACTTACATACAAGTTACACTGTAGTTACATGCAAGTTACAATGTAATTACATACAAGTTACAGTGTAATTACACTACGATTATACTATAATTGCATCTGTCAAATTTTTAGTAGAAAATTTGTCGACAAATGTATAGGTGGTCCCTTTTGAACGCATGAGAATCAACATATCATCCTTCCAGTGACGGGCCTTAATCCTGGCCCATCCATGGGTATAATGCATGGCCCGGCAATTCGGACTTAAAATCAAGGCCTAGCCGGGAATTTTAACGTGGATGAACAAAATTAGTTGGTCTGTCGTCTGTTCTGTTCTTGCTTCTTGTACGATTCTACCTCACTATGGGTCGATAACATAGTAGTTAGCTAAACTAAGTAAGGACTTAGATAAGCAAAACTTTTTTTTATTTTTTTATTTTTTTTAGAGAAGGGTATTTTTTATCCGGCCTCTACATCCAACCGGATATATACGGACATTGAAGTAGGGAACTTAGCCCCGCAAACAACCCAATATAAAATTCGCTCCATAGAAGATTTGAACTCAGGATCTTGATTACTACTCATGTAAGCATATACAATATGTTTCGTCGACACTCCACACCCTCTAATTTCAATTCCACGTGTTTTAGATTTGTGCACCGGGTAAAAAGAGCACCCCCTACGTTCATAATTCTTAAATACTCAGTGCAAAAAAATAACAATTTTTTTTAGGAAAAGGCAGGAGCTCTGCCATTCATTAATAGAAGAAGAGAAATAAAACACGGGGACATCCTTGCTAAGTGCAAAAATAATAACAGTGGTAATTCATAAATACTCATAAAAAATGGTTATTCTTAAATACTTTTAAACCTTATTTTTTTGAGTTCCGATCAAAATTTTAATAGTTTTCCTGATAATGACTTTTAAAATACTTAATTTTAGAAAAAAAGTTGGTATAGATTTGCCTTAAAAAGTACTCCCTCCGTTCACTAATATATAGCATTTCTAACGTTTAAAATTTGTACACAATTATAGTTAATTTTGGAGCACTTGTTTTTTCAACCGATCCAGCCACTACATTTGTTACTTACTGATAGTTTGCATCGTCTAGATGTGCTCTTTTCCAATCATCTAGGCTCTCGGATGCATGTAATTTTACCTTAACCTTAGTTTCGGCTAAAACCACTACAAATTCTTATATTTATTGGTGGAGAGAGTAGTTTTATAATGTCATAAACTTATTATAATATAAAAGTTTGGGTCAAAATTATATCTCAGAAGCCATGAAAAAACTACATCAGTGTTTTTGTTTTCCTTTTTTTTTGTTTTTTAACTGGAGGAAAATAGTAACTCTCTCTTGGACTACGTTTGAAAAGACGCATTTCTCCATCGATAAACAAAGTTTGACAAAGCACAGAGCCACAGACCCATCTCTCTATCTTCTTTTGTGTACTATTTGAGGGCACGGACAAATAAATTAACTATTACTCCTACAATGTTATAGATTTAAATGAATTTTCTAAGAAAAATTTTATATATAGAAAGTTTTTACAGAAATCGTATTACTTCTAATTTCATATTATAAGTTGTTTGACTTTTTTTCTGGTTGATCAAGTTTATAAAAAAATTAGCAACATTTAAAATATGTTGGCTGTGGCCTGTGGCTTCTATGTACATGTCAGAATTAAGCAACCAACTTAAGCAAGCAGTATGTAGTATACATGTCCAAATCCTGCAATCAAGATTCACAATCAAGTATGCAATCTTCTTCAGTTCTCCTCATCACTCCAATCCAAAAAGGAAAATGAATTTGTTCATGCAGATTAGGAATAGTACATTGCTAGTGTCAACAAAAAGCTGCAGAATTCGCTTACTCAGCAGCAACAAGACACTGAAACTTCTTCTTCCTGTTGCTTTCAACAGTTCGGTTTGCAGTGACCACAACCTGACAGATTTAATTAGGAGATGACACGCACAATTACAGCTGAACACAACAGTAACAAAATCACACCTTTGGCAAGCACAGCACAAACCCCCAGTGTGTCATCTGATTCTGATCCCTAGAAAGATTTGCACACGAAAAGGGACGGACAAGAGTTCCAAAAGCTTAGGAGTAGCTTCTTCTACCGTGGGCAATGTCAGTAGCAAGTTGAGTTGATCATGCCATGGCGGCGGCGGCGTTGTCGGTGGCGAGCGACCAGCAGTAGGTGGTGGTGGCGGCGGTGAGCACGGTGCTCGTCGACCCGCACTCGCTGTCGTGGTCCGGCAGCCTCGACCCCCACGGGCACGACGCCGGCGCGCTCGCCTGCGACGGGCACCGCTGCACGCGCGCCATCATGGCGGCGCCGCACTTGTTGGGTGGCGCCGACGCCGCCTGCGCCTCCAGCGACGCCCTGCGCCGGGCGCTCGCCTGCCTCTCCCACCGCACCGACGACGCCTCGCTGGCGGACGACGACACCGACGCGCGCTGCCGCGGCGCGCTCTGCGACCGCGCCTTGGCGCGCGACGACTCCGTGTTCGCCATGTAGTTGGGGAAGAAGAGCGGGTGGTCGCCGTTGCCGTGGTGCGGGTGATGCGGCTTGCACGGCGCGTCGGAGGCGTGGTGGTGGTGCCACGGGCTGTTCCGCGCCGTGGAGAAGGAGAAGTCGTCGTACCGGCCGCTGTACGTCCGCGCGCTGGCGTCCGTCAGCGCCGACGGCGTCGGCGACACCTTCTGGTACAGCTCCACCTTGGACGGCGTGCGGCACAGCGGCGTCGCGTAGCAGCTGCTCCGCCGGGACGACGTCCTCGGCGTGCAGTGCGCCTCGCCGCTGCCGCCGCCGCCGCCAAATCCGGTGTCCACCTCCACGATCTTCACGTTCTCCTCCGCCTCCTGCATTAGCTCATCACCAATTAAACTCTTCTCGCTCGCCATGGTCCAAGCAACAGCCTCTTACCTGTTGCTGCTGCTGATGACGGAAGCGGGGGTGGTGCGGCGAGCGGCGGGTGGGCATCATCCTCGGGGTGTGGAGGAGAGGCTTCTCCTTGTCGTCGTCGAGGAGGCGGAGGCGCGCGGCGCGCGCCCGGTGCTGGGCGGCGACGAGCGCCTGCATGCAGCGGAGCGTGTTGCTCGCCTGCCGCCGCACGAGGTGGCCGCGCACCAGCGCCTGCAGCTTCACGAGCCCCCTCAGCGCGCACAGCGCCTTCCTCGCCTGCGACGACGACGACGAGGCAAGCAAAGCAATCCATCAAACACAAGCGCTTCACTCTCGACGACGACGATGGCGGCGAGCCGAGAGACAGAGACACTCACCAGGTAGGACCTGAAGACGCACTGGATCTTGATCGCCGCCGCCTCCTCAATGCCGACGACGACGACGCCCCGCCTCGACGACCCGGCGAGCCGGACTACGGCCGCCGCCGCCTGCTTGGCCGCCACCGCCGCCTCCGCCGCCGCCGCCGTGGCTATGGCCACCGCGACGGCGTGCTGGTCGGGGTCCACCCGCGGCTCCAAGAAACCACCACCACCATCCTTCACCGCCGGCCTCCGGAAGCTCCACCGCCTCTTCTCCTTCGCCCCCGGCGTCGTCACCACCGCCACCGCCTGCTCCTTCTCCGGCGCCGGCGCCCTCGCCCTGTCCTTCTTCCCCGGCAAGAAGCTTCGCAGCCACCTACCCGCCCTGCCCATGATCTCTCCTCTCCTCTTCTCCTCCTCCACACTAATCCACTAGACCACCGCGAGCTCGCAACCGGCGATCCGCTCGCGCCGCCATGTGCGAGCGAGCGATCGATCTTGCTTGCAACTGTGTAGATGGGACGTGCAGTGCGGTGCAATGCAATGCATATACAGGGGGAATATATTACTTGCCACTCTGCAGCTACGTCGCCTGCAATAACTGCTGCACCATGGCGGACGCGATCTGGGAGGGGCATTAGTTAATTTTTGCGCGCGTAACGGAATGGAATTTTCTTTTCTTGTTCGTGGTCAAGTGCACGCTGCTGCTGCTGCTTCTGAATTTGCTGATCTGATCCTATCCAAAAAGAATTTCTCGATTGCGCTTTTCAGTGGTGATTCAGGCGGAAACGTTAACTGTAGATGTTTGGCACAAATTTGTACGCTGCATTGCTATTGTTTCAGAAGAAATAGTGACGCAGAAGCGATCAGAGAAGCTTGATCCGAAAGCAAATGGAGAGATGCTGAAGGCTTTCGCTGTATTATCCTTTTTGTTGCTGTCATTGGAAAAAAGGAGGAAAAAAGGGTTATTTTTCTAGGCTGTAAATTTATGTGCTTTTTTTTGGCTGAATTTCATGTATCCTTGTATGGTTTTAGGATAAACTGAATGTCATGCTTAAGTTTACTGAACTTCTTGAGTTCATGGCATAAATGATCTGATGATGGATAAGTTTGACTGTGAATATATATTTTTTTCGTTCCTAGCTAGTCAGAGCTGCATGTGGTTACCAGTTAATCTTAAGGGCTCCAATTTCTTATTCCACATTGCATATATATTTTAACAGGAGCAGAGCAAACTGGGCATCACACATGGCACAACTCAGCTTGCGTCAAATCTGCCTTTTTAACAACCCTAAGCAAAGCTTTGCTTGCACATGATCCGATGCCAATTATCATCAACCCCCCCTTTTTTTTACTATCTACCACAAGTTCACAAATCACTAGAGAACCTGCTACTACCATTGCCATAGCTTGATATTTCACTGTTCACACATCAGAAGTGCCAACCCAAGGACAATGATCCTCTGCATTTACAGATTGTACTGTAATCCATTTCCGAGGCGATCTGAGCCGTCCGATGACGAATCCAACGGTTAGGATCGTCCGCGACACGTGCCGTGTTTCGCTACAGTGTGCCGGGGGCCTATGTGGACAGGGTGGTTTCAATGTGCTAACCTGCATAGGATGGGGGGAGGGGCCAGGAGTCCAGGACGCCTCATTCAATTTTGGGCAATTAATTATGTTCAGCTAAATTCACAAGGATTTGAACGTTGTTTTTGCTGGGGCATACAGGCAGGAGAGGGACCATGAGAATCCTCCTCCTCTCGCCCAATCAGGCAATTCAGGGTTTCAATTTTGAACACGTTTGGCTCATTCATGCAGAGATTGCAGAAATCCAAAACTAAATTCTGTGCCCCTCATCCTATTTGAACTTTGGATGTTCTTCCCGGTATATACGTACGCATATGGTTTTGTAACCTGTCGATACGTTAATTGAAATATGGATGTCACTTAGTAAGAAGCTGAAGCTAATGGTAGTTATTTACTTCAGTAATTTTTTTTTGACTGAAACTAACGACATGGTCATAACGTGTCGGCCCATTGGGATTCGTATCTGACTTCACATACTTAAAAAAAATACGCTCATCAAACTGAGTGAGAAGTGAGAACACTGTACAACAAATGATTTAGGGGAAATGAGGGAAGGCAGGATGAGATGGAGAGCATGTGCTGTCTGGATCTCATATGCATTATGTTAATTATCCACTAGATTAGGGATATTGCAGAGTTAAGTACTCATGTAATGTGCCTATGGAATGGGCAGGTTAACCATTGCCAGTTTAATTAATCCCCATAAATATTCGCCCTTAGACCACGGCACAGTGGTGCGATTTCAGGCCTTAGATGGCTCGGATACTGTCTCTGAATAATTTTCCTTCCTGCTTGACGAGAAAATGCTACGAGACTTACTTGATGTTTGATTTGATTAAGTAATTAATTACTTAATTAACTGATATAGGGAAAATCATCTAATTAAGTAATTGTCTGATTTTCCCTTTGTCATATGTGATGGATGTTTGATTTGGTGCTTAGCTTGCAAGTGTGTTGCACAGATCATTCACGATAGCACTGTGCAATGAAGTTGCAGCACTTCTTTTCGTCCCTTTATTTTCCAGAACTCCATGTCTGTTTACTTTACAGTACAGAGAACACATGGAGGATTCCTTGCAGGGTTGGTCATCCCAACAACTTTTTAAGCGATAACCAGAGAAGGGGAAACACATGCAACATTGGTAAGCTACTCTCTATTGAGACAGCATTTGCTTGTGTTGTTGTTGAAGTAGAGAAAAGACAAGATGTTTTTTGTTCTCCCATTTGGCAGCAAGAAACAACGGAGATGCTCCTTAGGATATCAGGATATCAGGGGTAAACTAATATGCAGAGAAGTGAGGCACTGAGTTTTGAGGCGAATAGTCCACAACTATGTTAGCTGTTTAGAGCACGCCTACACTACAAACCCACGTCTGAAAATAAAACTATAATCCTGTATAAACTGCAAAATAGCAGCCAGTGTGTTTACACCAGCACATGACTACACGAGCAGAGTATGGAAACGATTCAATCTTGAAACAACACAGGATATTCCAACAAAATACATGCAGATATATGTCAGACCAGAACAGTATATTGATTTGACAGGAGTAGCTATATTGCCAGAACAGTATATTGATTTGATAGGAGTAGCTATATTGAGAATCACAACAGCGAACATGAAACTAAGAGATGGTTTCCATCTGTTGTTTTTGTACATAGCAGATCCTACTCATCGCACAAGTTACAGAAGAATGTAGACCTAGGCCTGATGAATTGCTGGCCTCTTCTACCGTATGGTTTGGCATTTGGCAATTGCCAAGCAATTACATGTATCACATATCAGGTATCCAGCCTTCAATAGCCCTGTGTCAAATTACAGCCATGTAACAGAGCATTCGGATATCTGTTTTACACAATGGAAGTCAGCAGCCACGAAATAATTGCCGGCAGTATTCACAGTTCATGAGGATGCAGATGTAAACGGCTCGCTGGCCTCAAGAAGCTCGTCCAACAGACCAGTGAACACAACCGAATCAGTCTATTTAGGCTTGAAGGTAAGCCGAGCAGAAGGGACTAGGTCTTCATCCAGCAGTGTGTGTGCCCGCTCCCCTGGTTGTGGAAAAGGAGGTGTGACACGTGTCCTAGGACCAGCTGGACAGATAAGATCGAATTCCAAACTTGGCTGCTTCAAAGCAGATGCGGCAAACTACATTACGAAAATAACAAATAAGCCAAGTGCCACAAAACCAGTAAATGGCATGGATACCACTTTAGGACTGTGGAGAGAAAAAAAATGAGTAGCACAAGTAATAAAAAAACACAGATAAAGCACATGAACAAATAAAGAAATGCTATATGCGAGATGCACAATGGAAATTGATAGCTAGAATAAACATGTATAATGAGGCTATCCATTCAGTATATTGTACTGTACCTTATACAGTCGTGTGCTAATACCGCTGAAGGTTACTCGTATCAACCCTGAAGCTGTAATACTGCTAATAAGGATTAAGAAGTACAGTGCTGAGCGTCATGCATCAGGAGCATTTGCGCGAGGAAAGACTTGTTTCTATGCCAAGACAAGCACTGACAAATACACACAGAGATCCATCCAATGGCATGTGAATCCACTGTCGATACATGACTTGGAGGCTAGCCAATGTGTTATTAGGTGATGTTTAATTGGCACCCATGTATTCTGTTCATTTTCACAGCAGCATTAAGGACATCTATAGCGCTGGGGCTTGTGGAACAGTGGAAACAATAAGGTCAGTGAACTTATCTTAGCCATTTATCTGTACTCTGAATAGGATGGGCTCAATTGTCAGAAAAAAAAATCTCGAGATCTTGTGTGAATAGATTATGTAGTGTTCAGGGTTAAAACCAGGACACCGTCTAACTTCATAACTATCTTCTACCAGGGAAAATCGTTTTGAGACAAGACTAACACTTAATCCTGTATTTTGTCACGTGTTACTCTTGAGGATAAGAGCAATCCAAGATAAAAAGAACAAATTCTGTGTATCTACTGGATATCCCCTCTGAAGTCTGAACTCAAACAATTGATACTTTAGACTTATCATGACTCATGCACTGCTTTCATTGGTAGGCCAGTTCTACAAATGCTACCAGGTTAACTACTCTTTAATTGAGCATGGCAATTGCAACTAATAAATAGTAAAAATTGAAAAGTAGATGCTAAGTGTACGTGCCAAGATTTGCTTCAATGATACCAAAGATTAAGCCATCAATATATGCTGAATTGACAGGGTCAAAGAAGGTACTAAGCAAACCAAAATGAGAAAACGCGTTGAAGATAAGGCAAGGGAGTTAAGATACCTCATATAGGGAACTAATGGGCTCTGTGGGAAGGAACACACCCTGTAGAATTACTCCATCAGGAAACGGAATACGAATCAGAGCTTGTTTATACTTCTGTCGGGCAGCCAGTGCCTGCTTCTCCTTATATGACTTTGGAATCAGCAACCAAGATTGTTCTAGCCTCCCCCTCCTCATCTTTGCCTCATTCCTTATCTCCTCATTACTAAGGCTATAGAAATAATCTGGTAGATCATTTTCTGCAACAGAACTTGCAGCAACAGAGAAGAACACCCGAATCTGTGGTTGAAATAGCATTTCAATAAGCCACCGTTTCGCGAAAATAGATAGAAAGAATAGAACGCATTAATGCGCAGATAGTCTTATAAGCTTAAAACTTGAGTTATACTGAGTAATATTTACTCTTCAACACATGATGGCACTACCACGAAAGCGATCTCACATTAATTACTAGGGGCAACATGTTGAGTAAAAGAAAATCTATTAATGCTGACGGTTACTAAGATGTAACCAGGCATCAAGAACTATTTATTCATAACTGATTCTACGGATGGATATATATGACGTTTCAGAGTGTGGAATTGACTTGCGCCCATTTAGTAGTATTTTCTTGTCGGAAACGACAAGTAATACTGACCGGATGGAGCACTACCCTTCTACTCCCATGAGATATTAGTACAAAACATATGTCTCAATTTGTATGTATGATACATTCAACTATTCAAGCTACTAGTACCAATTAATTTTAGCCCAACCATGTACTTGCCGAAACAGAATTTGGCACCAGTATGTTCAAAAAATCATACAACAGGCAAATCAGGAGCAGCCAAACGCGGTTGAATTGATTTGATTGGCACATAATCTTACTAGTAACTGAAACAAGCAATTGATGAATCACATGCCTCACCTGGTGATCAACCGGCCTCTTAACCCCCTGCTGTTCGCCAACTCCATCCGGGCGAGTCCCCTTGGCATCTGCCTGCTTCGGCGGCGGCGTTGAAGGCCGGGCCCTCTGGAGCAGGAGCACGGCTTGCCTGATCCAGCCGAGCCTCGCGTCTCCGGGCACCTCGTCCATGACGGCGAAGAGCTCCCCGCCCTTGTCGGCGACC